CCCCAAAACCCCAAAACCCCAAAACCCCAAAACCCCAAAACCCCATATGTGGCAAGTGTACTTGAATTATGAATCTTACATGGCAATTTTCAGTTAAATCCTAAAGCGAGTTTACTCAAGTCCTACACTCTTAGTTACAGGATGAGCCTTTTGAGACTCTAGTTGTGAGATAATTCTGAAACACTCATCTATAATACTTTGATACTTTTGTCTTTCTTCCTGGATCTTCTTAGACAAAGCTTGCTCATGGTCTCTCTTGATGTTACTGTTCTCCTTCCTGAGCTTCTCGATAATAGACCTAGAACGTTAAACCCGACACTTACTGGAGGTGAACCCCTTGATGCTTGTAGTCATACACTCTCTTATTAAGCATGGATAGTTCCTTTGTCTGATTCTTCACAGTAGTCTGGAGAGACTTAAGCAGAAGTGCATCTGCTGAAACCTCTTGCTCGACTAAGTCCTCCCCTTTCTTAGCTTCGAACTTGAATCTTTTCTTAGGACTAGGCTCTGTCTTCTCTTGGGCTACAGCCTTGTCAACGTATGTGCTAAGATCAGCCAGAGCTTTCAATCAGGATTGGAGATCTACATTTTCTTCCTCAGTGGCCCTGGCCGGCTGGCCAGGCCAAGTAGAAGTTGTAGTAGGTAGCCAAGGAATCGTGGAAGTAGAGCTAACATGAGTAGAGCTCATGCATGACTTTGTAAGACACATAAGAGCGTTTTCGATCGTCTTCAACGGTCTTGGAGGAGGTTTGGCTGTGATCTTTGGAATTTTGATGGGTGATGTAGGAGGAACTGAGATAAGGGAGTTAAGAGATTTCTGAGTCTGGGGTGTCTCTGAGAGAACGTTTTTGAATTTTTTTAGTGGTTCTGAGGGTTTAGAAGGGGCGGTTTGGTCTAAGACTTGGGGAGGTGTTGGGTTTGGTACTGATGAGGGTTGTTCTTTTAAGTCTGGGTCTGAGTCTGTTTTTTTATGCTTTCTTTTGTATCTGCAAGGTTTGAATACCTATACAACACAACTTTTAGCCTAACTCAAGCTCTTCTAAACTCCCCCTATTTATGATCATTCCAATCAAAAGCAAACCCAAACTTGCAGTTTCTCCAAATACCCTTCTCAGTTTACCTTGTCGCCATTTATGACTCTATAGGTCGATTCCATTTAATAAATTCAATTTATTATAGCTTAAAGGGGTTTTGGGGTTTTGGGGTTTTGGGG